TTCTCAATTTTGGTTTTTAGACCGCCGTGCTCGCCGACTATTTTTCTTTCCACGGTTTATTTCCGATTAACGCGCGCAAAAGGCGCGCACTGTACGCGGAGTTGCTAGCAAGGACCTTCCACAAAGGTCCTCCATGCCGCAGCTAAGACGTGCGGGGAAGTTATTCGTGTAATTTATGGCTAGAGTGCCCCCTCGACTGCAGCGAGGTCGCGGGCGCTGACGTTCTTCTATTTCAAAGCTGCGCTCCTTGAAGTTGTTATGAGAATACGAAAAGCGTCCGACGAACGTCTTTGGAACGATATACTGCGCCTCGCGCTTTCGCAAAAGGCACGAGTGTCTCGGTAAACTGGTGGATATCGACAGATTCTCTCTCTCTCTGTCTCTCTCTCTCTCTGCATCGAAATGCAATTAAACGTGTATAATACAACACCTAACCGCGAACATTACAATACGATAAATTCACTTGACAAGTAAAAATGGATTTTATTTCCCTTTCAATTAACATTAATAGTCACATACACAAAACGCAGTCAATTATAAGAAAAAAGTGCATCATCTTGATGTCCTCGCTGATTTACCTCCACTTCCGGTGGTTAATTCGCGAATGCCTTGGTTGCAAGACAGGACATATTCCTTCCCATGCACGGAACGTCGCGTAATCCGGCAATCTCGCAAATGTGGCGAGCGGTTCTATCGACTTAATTGCTTTACCCTCCTTAAATTCACGAGGCAGCGAGGGAACTTGGCATCGTGTACTTTGCCTGTCAGACTCTTGCTTCTTCGTCGGCGACCGCGGGACCCGTTCCTTTACTTTTTCTTTTTGTCACGACCATCCAGTTTTTAGACGTATCGTAACGACGACATTAGTATCGCGTGCAACAGCTCGTGCAGCTTTTAACGGAGCCGAATGTTCGCGGAAAGCAGCGAGCTGATTGCGGGCGTGCACTTTGAAATAGCAGAATGTAAATTAATGCGCCAAACGTTGCGTTACTCTTTGGTACATTACGTTTATGGTGTTATTAAAACGAGCATATTATTTGTTTTCTCATACGTATTTGATACCATGAATACAAATTTATCGGTGAATATACCATATTTTATATAAATATCTATTAGTCACAGCCAATTTATTCGAATAACATCGAGAGAGATTGTGGCTTTATATTTATATGTCGACAGCAAAACGTGTTTATTAATCTTTTTCGACTCGAGCAGTTAAATGAATGTAAAGGATGCTCGCGAGTAAAAGCGGTACATTCTGAATTAATAATACTTTTCCTCCATCCCGATCGATTCACGGTTTATCAGATAGACATGTGTACGTACCTTATGGGACATGGCACATATCCGATGTTGCGTTGCTAATACATTGCGCCACATCATCGATACAGCCCCGATATCGCGAATATTAAGTATTTTAAGAGATGCGATTTTATTTTCGAACACCACGAATAGTTGACCTATGGATTTCCCGACGCTGCGTCGATCTCACTATTCTCATCACGCGATGAATATTTCACATACATCTCTCGAGATATCGTGCGCTTGAATCAAAAGTCATTTTTTCCCTGCAATTACATCATTTAAAGGATTCTAAAAATAAATGTGCGATCTTCGTTGATGTTAATGTGATGTGTGTTTTTTTTTCAAGTCCAGTATCTATATATAAAAAATATTTTCAAAATAGTAACAACTGTTATAAGAATTTCATTAAATTTGTAGGATTAATATATTTGTGTACGAAAGAACGGAGTGTTAGATAAAGACACAAAGTAAATATTTAAAAATACAATTTTTATAAAAAAAAAACTATTAATACTTTTTTCTATATTCACCGCGAGATGCTCGGCGAGATGAGAAAAAGCGATAATACAGCGACGGAAAATCCATAGATCAATTGTTTCTTTTTGAAATTTTTTTATAAAATATATGTTTTATATTTATATAAAACTCAAACTTTTTTAAAAATCTCATTCAATTAATTAATATCACATTCACAGACTTATTGAATCCTATATAATCAAACGATTTTTTTGGGGTGCAAGAATTCCCGTGAGTGTGTCAAATGAATGGAAAAATATTCTTGTGCGAAAAATCCCTTGATACAAACGCGAATCATGTAGCGGCGCCGCGAAGTACCCGACCCTCGAGTTTAGGATCCTATTGACTTACGGTTCGTCTATCTGTCGAACGGAGGAGAGAGAGAGAGAGAGAGAGAGGCAGAGAGCGGCGCGCTGGTCTGTTTAATGAACAAGCCTGAGCGGTTTGATTTGCATTGCGCGCAGTCACGCTCCGCTCGCGGTGCGAATTTCAACGTAGCAGCCTCAGCTACTCGGTGGCCACCTGAGTAACGTGAGATACCTGCACGATGGCGCAGCGCCCGCGTCCTGGGGGCGCGTAATGCGCCCGGGTAGAGAGCGTTTTAAGGGGCATTCCTGTCGCGCCTGCATCGCGCCCGCCGTTGCGTTATCGCGATTCAGCGTCGAGCACTACTGCCATCGAATGACAGTTTCCTGTGTCAAAGCATACCCGGCCGCCGTTACACAACGTGATCAACCCCCGTGCGCAACCCGCCGCCGTCGCCGCTGCCGCTGCCGCTGCTGCCACCCCCTTCCCCCTCTTCTCCTCCCATCTGCTGCCTTCTTCCATCGAGAGCCGTGCAATTCGAGCGGCAAATGCAATATTGTGGCCTCGCCGCCGAGACACTTGAGACAAAATGGCATGCTTTCGCGCGATTTGCCCCTTTTTTCCTCCCGTGATTTTCAAAGGCTGCACTTCCCGAGAGCTCTTAGATCCTCTCTTCGCGCATCGTTTTACGTGTATTTAATTACTTACGTAGCTTGAGAAGATTCTCCAAATCAAACACTTTATTATATGGACCGCTTTTTAATGCATCCGTTAAAAGTTTCGTCGAATTTCGGATTGCGATGCGCGTTTGTGTAATTTTTCCGCGTGCATATACAAAAGCTTATTGTAAACCTTTAGTTTAGTAAAAATATAAATGTTTGCTTATAAAATTTTGGAAAAATACGGCATAAACCAGTTGGTACACATATAGGTATATGTATATATGTACATGTATTTTATTTTTATTTTCATACAATAATTTTGAAAATTGAAATCGTAATAAAATTTTATTTCATGTCTACTGTTTGTACATAAATATAAACAAAATAAATAAACACATATATATTATATTGTATATATATATATATATATATGTATATGTACATATGTGTATATGTATATTTATATATTTATTTATAACAAATATGTATATATATTTTTTTATTTTATATATAATACATAACAATTTTCCGAAATTGCATTTTATTTAGCTTGACGATTCATAACATCACTTCAGTTTTATTAGTCAAAGCCCAGCATCGTGTTTCTTTTTCCCCGCTTTTTGTATTCAGCACTCATCAAGTCACTTTTCGATTCGTACGTATTCACAAGTGCCTCTTCGTATTAGTCAATGGGGATAAATGTGAAAACGAGATGTCGTTTCGCGGCGTCGAGCATCCGGCAAGCGCAACTCGGTCATGCCGACCGTATGATCAGTAAGTGGAAACGGACCAGCACGCGTCCGGCCTATGAAATCGGAGTCGAACTTGCGAGCGGGCGAATGTTTATTTGAAATAGGATAGCCGGCCACAACGATTGCGCGCTCCTGATTTCGAAACCCGTGTAAAGGGGTGGAGAGGGGGAGGGGTGCTCGAGCATTGAACGAGCCCAAACGAGCAACTAACGAAAAAATTGCGTCCGCCGTTTGCGGTTCGGTTGTATATCATTCGGAGACAATTAACAATTGACTTTGTGTGATACGAGAAGGGTCGGTAAATGTGTGGGAAAGAATGGAATCCAATAATAAAAACAATACCCGTTTTAGAAGAAGAAAAAAACATCGATATCTAGGATTAAAATAATTGGTATAAAATTTCTTTCAATATTGAATAATTATCTCATAATAAAATAATCTTTATTTTTTCCAAGTTGTTATCGCGTTCTCTCTATAGGTGCTTCAGAAAATTTTTCATTTTACCAGATGAATCGTCCAGTCTCGATGGGGGATCGAATCGGTTGCGTTCCTTCCTCGCGTGAAAAATCATAAAATTCGTGTGAGTCGCGGTATTAAAAATGACGGCGTACGCTAAGGAGAAAAACGAGAACCGCGACGTCTGTGCAGCAGAGCGCCATCCGACCTACAACCTCTTATCTTGCAACCCTACCCTGTCGCCTCTTACGGCCACTGCTTCACCTTTGAAATCTTATCCGCCGCTACGTACGACCTTCTCAGAATTTATATTAAACAACCGACTCCCATTATTGGGCTATTCGTGTGTTGTCAAGGCAAGGTGGCAGCCATCCGGCTGAATTTCGCGATCGTACAAGAGCGCGAATCCCTTTTCACAGCTCTTTCACCAACGTAACCCGCTTATACATGCAATATCAACCTGAGACCGAACGCCGTCTTGTTCTGAAAAAAAAAAATCAAATCTAACGTTCGATGGCTGAAACAGATCGAATGGTTATCGGAAAGTATACTTAGATTTGAGATCAAAGTATCAAATGCCTATCAGCCTCTGTTATATAATATTTATATAATTCTAATGTATCATAATATGATTCATAATTAATATTATATCGCGCTAATATTTTTATAGACTGACGTTTTATAGAAATATGCAGGTAATTTCGATTTAGCCAATAACGACATTCATGGAATCATGCGTACACGGAAAGAACACTTTTGCTGAATCCAGATCTGAAAATAATTTTTGTTCAATAATCAAAATATTTTTGCGCAAAAGTCAAAATGATTGCTAGAATATTAAAACGTTTTATAGCAATGCTTATCAGTTTTAACACATTTCAACAAATTATTTTAACAATTTAATAAAAAATTACTTTCAAATCTGTTTTTAGCAAAATTTTTTAACCCTTTCAACAAAATCGTTTTTTCCGTATAATAATCAACGATTTCTTTTTGTGTGCAGTTTGTTCTTCGAAGGAGTTCATATGCAGAAACGGGCAGTGCATCGACAGTAACAGACACTGCGATGGCGTGCAGGATTGCCACGATGGAAGCGATGAGCACAATTGCCGTAAGTATCGTTTCCACATCCGAAAGACGATCGCCCGCACTTCATCATAGTTATTTGCATGCAGCATGCAGTTGCGGACTTGTAATGGTGGTATCGCGCATTGTTGGGTGCGCTGCGATTGTAGCTTCAGAATTCGCGCACGCGCGCGCGCGTACGTCTTTTTAATAATCTGTCTAATGTAACTTTGTTAGTCAACTTTGAAGTAATATTGCACCCCTCTGTGCGCCTTTACACGCAACATCCATAACTTTCGAACCATTAAACCCTCTTATATGCGAGCCGCGCAACATGTCGTTCTAGTGATTCAGAACACAATTTTTATGTATCGTCAAGAAAGATCTATCAGTTTCATATATATTCCGAACCCATAAACATGTCGCGTGATATTTTTATTCTGAAAGAAAATTTAGAACGCGATTAACATAAAGGCTTCTTGTAACTGTCAATTCGGGGGTATTGCACGCGAACGGCTGGCTACGCGAGGGGCAATTATAAAATAGGTATATACATGCTGCGAAGTAAGTTTCGCAACGAGAGATCGTCCCCGCACGCATCTGCAAGGCCTGTGCGTGCCGATAGAGGTATCTTCACGCGGAATCGTGAATTGATACTGCGGCGACGCCCTTGCCGCACGTACCGACATTATTTATCGCTGGCTAACACCGCACGGCAGACTTGCATGCGACTGCGCCGGAACTAATGGTCGCAACCGGGTCCCAACGTATTACGATGAGCTCAATAATTATAATAGCTGTGACAATAACAATAGCGTGCTCAGGGAAAGAAAAAAAGAACACAGGAGGGAAGGGGGGGGGGAGGAGGAGGACTCCTAACGGGTGGCAGTGGTTGACGACGTGACGTTCTTCGGCCTCGCGTTTAAGGCCGTTGCACCCGGTGCACCGCATCGACATCTGTTTTCCCTCTTCGTTCAACCCTCCCCCTCCTCCTGCCGCCCTTTCCAACGTCAGCTTATTATTATTTCCGTCGTCTTTTGCGAAGGCACGCTTCGTACGGCCGGTCCGCCTGTGTACGGCCGTGCACATCGCTGGCTTATATTCTCCGGTCGTTAAAGGCCTAATTTTTTTAAGAATCGAGAATATTTTACGATCGGTATAGGTCGCGATACACGGCTGAAAATTTTCGTTGGAAATTTCGAAAGTGATGCGAGCGGGAATGCTTGCTTTGTGCAAGTACCCCATTCCAAAAATCAAATCAGCATGACATGATATTTATATTTTGTGCTTCTAATTTGCAGAAAATTAATTCTGTATGTTATCCTATAGATCACAGACACATAGTAGAATGAAAAACATCTTTACATGTCTTAATGCAAGAAACATTGCAGACATCCACAGCTATTATTTCACAGTTTATATCGCAATAATCACACTGCAAATTGCAATTTTATGTGGCAATAATCCATTAGCGGAATTAACCGTAATGAGGAGCACGTTTAGTGACGCATTTATGTGATTTTACGACGCTCGCACATCCGTTTGTACATACAAAAGCTCATCATGACAATGACAGTCGTGGTCGCGCGAGTATCAGCGGAGAATCGGCCGCCGATCTCTTGTTCGTCTTCTCGCGTAACTTATTGCACATCTCATTAGCGACGTGAATGCCGTAGAATGCCGTGGAGAACGATTAAAAAGAAAAAAAAGGATCAGGTACGGGGTGGAACATTCCCTCCCGCCCTTCCCGCCCTGTTCCCCGGCAAATCCGGGATGGCCTCCTGTCGAACGAGATTTACTCGCGTTTATTAATCCGCCCTAATAACCGACCGCAATTTTAATCCGACGTTAATCTCCCACGGGCCGTCGGCCGAACGTCGCGCCCGCGCGGCCCTCCCACCACCCGTTCTGCCCCGGAATTTCGCATTTTCACCGCTTTAATCCAATTTTGATTCGTGACGAGAGAGCGTCGCGCGCGCTCCCGTTCGAAACTTCTGCGGCCGCTCCGCGAAAATCGGCCGCGCCGCGAAATCGCGTCAGACCGCGCACACGGGAGTCATCATCCCCGCTAAATCCTCGGGCGCGGCGAGATTATGTTTGTTTCTCGCTGTCTCGCGCGTCGACGACGTTACGCCACGCGGTGTCATAAAGCCAGCTGGTGTTTTGTGGGCGGCTTATTTTGACGAATTCGAAAGTTTTAATGGCCGCAAAGCGAAATTAGAAAACACTAGTCACGCGAAGAAAATGTTACGCCACACCATATCTTGATTAATCCGAGATTACCTTAGAATTACAGTTCTGATTCAGTTAAACCATTAAGAGGTCTCATCACCCTTTTAAAATGATATCTTAAGTTTGGGATTTTTTTGTGGGTAAATGGACTTTATTTAAAATCTCTTTAGAGGACATTATTGTACATATATAAGAAACCAAAAAAATAATTTTTATTTTTCTTATGTCCAAAATGGCGGCGCACTGGCCTACACTTGCGGAATCCCTTTTTTCTATCGGTGTACAGGATTCCAGGCACACGGTTTGGCCTTGAACAAAACATAAAGAATTTTTATTATTTACATATTAAAGACTAGTGAAGTACGTAGGGATTTTTCAAAATATTGATTTTTCTCGAAATGGCAGCTATTTTACGAAAGGCTTCTATTGACAAAAATACAAACTTTTCGTAAAAATAGCTGCCATTTCAAGAAAAATCAATATTTTAAAAAACCCCTACGTACTTCTATAATCTTTGATATGTAGATAATGAAAATTCTTTGTGTTTTGTTCAAGAGCAAACCGTGTCCCTGGAATCCTGTACACCGACTTGAAAAACAGAAAAAAAGGATTCCGCAAGTAGGCCATTGCACCGCCACTTTGTGCATAAAAGAAATAAAAAAATCTTTTTTTAGTTTCTTATATATGTACAACAATGTTCTCTAAACAGCTTTCAAATAAAGCTATCTATTTACCCACAAAAAATCCCAAACTTATCATTTTAAGGCCTGAGGGGTAGTGAAACCCCATAATTTCTCAAGTGCATACCGGGGGATACAAGGGATCGTTTCCAGACTACTCGGATGTTCGCGCGAGCAAATCGCCTCGGGCGCCGAAGCTCGTGAGAGGATTATTGAACTCGCGGCTCGTTTGCAATTCAATCGTCAAATGGGCGAGGCCTCGGGGCAGGCCTTGAACCCTAAGATGATGTCAGAAATCGCAACATCTTCCGCCGCTTTATCAAGCCGTTCACGACGCTCAGCGTGCTGCCTCACGTCCTATTTCCGCGTCATTGCGGCGACTCGAGTCCGTCACCTCTCTCTTTAGAAACAAATTGGAATGGAAAAAAGCAGATTTTTGAAAAACTTTACGTTGCAGCAGAGCGGTTAATCTCGCATTCGGTCGTATTAACTTTGCGCCACGAAAAATTTAAAACGAATAAATTTTTTATAATCGATAGCTGTCACTCTATTCGACGTCAATTAAGCGAATACAACTGAAACTTTCGTAATCCTATGCCGATGGCGCGGGATGTGAATTATTTATCGCGCATCGCGGTTTGAACATTTGATAAAGTGCCATTTTATTTTTCCGTAATTTTTCAATTCTGGTTTCCATTGCTCCGGGGATTTTTTTTTGAGGCAGTCGATTAATTTTTCTACGCGGCCAGATAATGCTTCGGCGAGAATGATCAGGATGAATATTTCGGTAGAAGCGAACCGATTGCGAGCGCGCGATTGCGCGAAACGTTATTATGAGATACACGTGAGATGTACGCCCGCACTCCTCTCCCCTTCCCTCTCCTCCCTCTCTCAAGCTTTACGTGGACGATAATTTAGCGTCTTTCCAGGGAAGTGTTGGAACTTCTATCTCTGTCGCTTTCGCTCGTAAAGAACTTTCCACTACTATAGCTGTCCCTTGCGAATGCGCGCGCGACTTACCGTCCGTGTCCACGTGTGTGTTTATGTGTGTTTCGTTTCTTTTCTGCGTGTATTCGTGCAATAACAGTCGTCGACGACGTGGTTAAAGGCAACTGTTGGTCGTCACGCCAGTGTCCTTCCGCGGACGAGCAGGTTCTTTCATGTTCTTCCATCGTTAACTAATTGCCGCGCTGTAAATTAAAGTACGGCACGGGTAGGTGCGCGACGATTGACGTAACTCCTCGTTCATTTATAATCTCTTCCGTGAAATTTCCTCAAATACGTGTTAATTAATGGCCTAGTCACTTGGGGCGCGCTTAACGCGTTTCGCTCGGCCACTAATTAGTTCATCTTCAGGAACTCTCCTTTCACGCTAACTTACATCATCGCACCGCGATCCTACATTAGAATTGTTGTTTTCTATGTTCCCAAGTTCGGATTACTCCGGGCATCTCAGGTCTGTCTTCCTTAACTGCGCGCTTCGCGTTCCGCCGGGCAATAATATGACTATTTACACGGAAAGAGCGATTTTGCTGGAAGGTCTAAAAGTTTTGCTGGGTACAGACCTGAAAATGATACTTGTTGTACCATCAAAATAATTTAATTGAAAACTGATTGCTAGAATATTAAAACATTTATTATTTTTGAGTTTTCAGAATTATATTTATGGCCCAACAAAATTATTTTCAGATCAAAATTTGTTTACCTCCCAGCAAAATTATTCTTTCCGTGTAGACTTTAGAAACGGATATATAAGATATAATAGAGCGGAAATGGTACTCTGTAAAAATCTATGAATGTAGCTAAGCAAAACAGACCTAAAATTAAACTTCGCGTTGCTTTACTTGCTTCCCGTTTCTCTTACAATTATAGCGAAGAACCTAATTCAATTGAATATCTGTCCGTTTCTTAAACATCCGTTCTTGAACAATAGCTCGGAATGCAGCTTAATTTACTCGTCGACGAAATCGTTATTCGTTACCGGCGGTCATTGTGCTTCCCTCATCATTTGTTATATCTCAATGTTACGTCCATTCAGCAGTGTCTAATCCTCGTCAGCGTCATTCTCTCCGCTGTGTTTGTACGTGTCATCTGTCAAATTGACCTGCATCAGTCGAGTCCTCGGCCGTGCCGAGTTCTCGGCGACATAAATCTTCCTCAGATTAGCCTGAGTGTGCAATTCTTACAGCCTGCAAGGAAGACCAATTCGAATGCGCGCCTGGTTATTGCGTGCACTTATCACGACGCTGTGACGGATACACGGACTGTGTCGGTGGAAGGGACGAACAAAATTGTTACAACATGAGTACGAATTATCACTATTTACTCCAATCAGCTGCGAAACGGCATACTCGCGCGAAACATGTAAATCAGTCGGCGTTGGAATAAACGTGGCTGCACATCTGCACGCGCGACGAAGAAGTGGCCTCTAAACGTTTGCCAAGAAACTCGTTTGACTCGTTAAAACTATTTCACAAGGAATGTCGCGACACAAACATCCTTTTTTTTCTCTATTACGGATATCAAACTGCGTATATTGCGAAATGCACCAACCGATGACATTCCAGGGTCGCATTACCGAGCGGTCACCGTGAGATTCCAACGCCGATAATTACGGGGACACGAGGCAAACTCACTAAATTAAACGTTTATTTTCTTGTTTTTTTTTTGTTTTCGTTTCGTGAAATTTTTGTAATCGAAACAAATTGCATTCGCGATCGAGTTTCGCGGAAGAAAGGGGGGGGGGGGAGCGAGGTCTCGTGTTCCCGTGTCGCATGATTCCGCGGCTACACACGCGCACACAAACCAGACGTTTCGCAACACACGCACCTCTGCGGCGAGAGGTAGGTACCGAATTCTATTGCATCTTTTGGGTATACGGGTGGAAGGATTTACGAGGGTATACACGCGAATTTTCCTGCGTGAACGCTGCCTGCGCGGCATGAGACTTGAGCACTCCCCGCATTTTTAACTCATTAGGAAGTAGCGCATGATAATTTACGCACGACGCTGGTTACATCATAAAGTTATGCAGAAACTCGCGAACAGGTATTCGCACTTGCAATAACGCGACGGCGATTCTTGGCGCATAATTATTCATGGATATATGCGGTGGCACACATATGGCCGCGAATTTACTCCGCAAAACAGTCGCAGCAGGCGCAAACAGTTAACAGCGATACGCGGAGTAACTGTTATCCAACTGTTGCGGATAAATTAAATCTCGGCGAATAAATTAAATCCGCTCGAAAGAAACTCACACGTTTTGCAATACGTCGTCGGTTTTTTTTTTCTTCAAACTAGACTGATCTGGAATGCGAGCGGAACCAGATAAACTTCATAGTAGCAAAATCGAAATTTTATTCGCAATCGAAAAGAAAATGAGAAATTTTTTAATTAAATCTCGCGGATTAAAACTCTAAATACACTTTAAGTATGCTACAGGACTGCCATATTTAGGGCAACGTGAAATTTTAATTAAATTAATCGATTTTTCGCTATGTATAGAGAGATACATTTTCAGAATTTACGTTGTCGCGATGAACATCAGCCAGAGTCACCGACACCGGCGAATGTCAGGCATACAAGTAACGCGACACTACTGCCTATATTTACTATAGGTCAAGTGGATTTCTGCAAATAGTTGCCATTTTTAATTAACTAAAGCGGGCTATCGAATATTTTCGAGCGTGGCATGGATTCAATTGATTATTGGTATCGCGTAAATTGAATATGCTTCAGTAACTCGTTCAAATTGCGACAATAATCAATAAAACTCGAGTTGATAGCTCTTCCGTTACTTTGTACAGACAGAGAATAAAAACTTTTAACTAAATCAAGGTGTCGCCTGTGTGAAAGTGCCATTGTATCATCAATGAGGATATTCGTTGTATTTTTTTTATCTATCGGTTTATCCTATCTCTCTCTCTCTTTTTTCGCCTCCCTTATTTATTTATACACATTTTTATGTTTTTTTCTATCCTTTTTTTAAATAGAACGGTGTCGGTCGGACGAATTCGAGTGCGACAGCGGTTTGTGCGTCAGCATAAATGCAAGATGTGATGGACGAAACGATTGTTCCGATCGTTCTGACGAGTATAATTGCAACGGTTTGTTTATATTACTTTATTTCTTTATTTCGTACATTGAATTTTTTATGTTTGTCTCATAGTCCTTTATAATTAAAAATATATTTAAAATTTATTTTAAATATTTTTTTTACTTTTTTAAGTTCCGTATAACTATTATTTTTTAATTATATTTAGTTCATTTTTAGAATTATAAATCAGAAATTTCCAATGAAGAAGAAGTGAATTACTTGAACAAAATACTCAGATTTTGAGTAATTATTATCTCGCAATTTAAAATATTACCTATACATATATTTAAAAATATATGATGTATATATGCTAAATTAATATATTTTATGAACTTTTTATCCCTCTTTTTTTATCATTGTTTTCAGTGACTACTTGCAGTGGGGATGAATACCGCTGTATGGATGGCACTTGCTTAAGTATCGACAAGCGTTGCAACGGAATCCCCGATTGTCGCAACGGCGAAGATGAGATCCAATGCGGTAAGCTAATTTGTTTTTCTCCCTATTTCGAGGCATATACTTGCTCGACCGATTCTTACCGTCTTGAAAACGCGAATATATCAAATGAGATTGTTTTTTTTTTTAACGAGATGCAGATTTCGACGGAGTCTTACACGCCTCCGTAGTTCCTTCGTCGAAATCCGACTGCGTCGCCTTCGCACAATGTGAATCCCACGTTGTAGCATGTTCACAACTAAATCGTGAGGTCAATAATCACTTTTGCACGCGCAGCGATAACTCCGCCGCAACGGTTCCAGCAATAAGCCGCGATAAGCCTGCACCGATGCTCTTTGCCAAGTGTCGGTTACCCGACGCGATTATTCACGAGCGATCGAGAGGGGCGCCTTGAGCTTAAACGAGCCTCAAACGCGCCTGCGAAGTTTAACAACAAGATTGCAGGCACTTTGATAAGTCTCGCGAGCAGAACCTAGCAGTGATCTCATTCGAACACGTGCTTAACATCGCGCTTAATAACGTTGCAAAGATTGCGACTCTATCACCGCGTGTCGTTTTCGAATTTCGAGTATCGCCATTTTATTTTTTATTGTTTTTTTTTTTAATTCGTTTCATCGCGAACGATTGCAAATATTTGTCTCTCTGTTACGACGGTATGTGAGTAGAAGTTTACACTTGCACATAATTAGACGCTGACGAGCGGTTCGAAGGCCCGGACATTTGGGTCTACATCGTTGCGCGCTGTAACGTGAATAACGTAAAACTTAATTTTCTCCGGGCACGCTCCGCGTGACTTTCGATTTACGATTTTCCACGCTGACCGAACTTTACGCCCTGTCCCCCCCTCCTTCCCCGACACGGCGCGCAACGCCGAAAATAACGCCTCTTTTCCCGAAATAGTTTAGCCAATGTCGTTGCACCATTACCTCACCTAATCCAGGTTTCGCTCGCAATCTAAACCGGGCCGCGCGCGCGCACGGTCGGTCGTGTGTGAAGAAAGCGGCGGAACTTTCAGGCATTCCCGACGTAACTCGGACCGTTACGACCGTTCCTATTACCCAAACTCGCTCTTTAATTAATCGATTTTTAAGCGAACCGCGTCCGACATCCCTGCAGCCAACACACGTACACACGCGCGGAAAGAGCGAAGGCATCAATCCTCACCTGCCGATCTCGAAGATAAATTAATCGCGTAAAGATAATCCAAATAGTTTACTCGTCCGTTCCGCTGCGATTGACTTATCCTCTTGATTGAGAATGCAGATTGCTTGCCCTTCGCGCTCTTGTAAATTCCCTGTATACTTCCTTAACGTTCACGTACTAACCTCGGCAAAAGCGGCGCACAGCTCGAGGCAACTCACACACCCAGGTAAAGGTGCGCGAACGTCCGCTTCTACCGTCCAGATGTTATTAACGCTATGCAAATTCGATGTTCTCTCTGAACCCGACGGCGTCACTGACACCGCGTGATCATAAATATGCCGCCGCCCTGGCGAAATTATTTAGCGTCACGCCCGGTTTATTCTCCTGTAACGCGCGCATTTTGGACGGAAGATTCGGGCGGTTGTCGGGAGAGGGGCTTGCTTGGAGCCGCGCGATCTCGCGCGGCTTGCTGGTGGATCGCGAGCGATCACCCTCGGGGATGGGGAAAAGGCGTCTTGTGGATGGGGGCTGACGCGCGTCAGCGGGGGCAAGATGCAATCTTTTAAATGCGCATGAGTGTATGGTGTATGGAGCAGGTTGCGGACCCACCGAGTTTCGCTGCACGGACGGCCGCTGCATCAGCAACGTGTTGCAGTGCAACGGGGTGAACGAGTGCTCTGACGGCTCTGATGAGAGGGAATGCGGTAATTATGCCACACACTTACCCCCACACTCTTTCCTCTTACACGATACACAGAGAGGCACACGTGTAACTTACATCATACACACTTGCACAACGTGCACAGAGGAACAAGTCAATCAATACTTGTCACTCATAACACGAGTTGTATTTGGACATTACACGATGACGTTGTATAACATAGATTTTTCACTTATTAGAACTTGAAACTCCGGTTGAGATTGAGGCGCCTTGATAGAAAAAAAAATTCACGTTTTTGGATTGATTAGCTCTTTAAAGGTAGTTAGAGGTATTTTTTTTGTTTTGTAGCCAGTAAAAAGTTTTCCAATTCTATTAGTACTTTCACATTATTGTAATTTAGTATTCAGTAAGCAAATAGGAAGGATCTAACATTGAAACACCGACAGAATTCAACTCGTCCTTCATCGATCGTGCTGACTTTCAAATACAGCTTCCAAGCATTCCGCGCCATGATATTTTCGCCATTACATTCGCCCCTTTTTCCGCCACAATCCCTTTTTAATCGTACTTATCGCGAAATCATTGCGCCGCCCGTATAGAGAGGCGCCCGTGGCGAAATTTCTATAATGCCGGAAACTTCACGATCGCGCGGCAGTCGCCGGCCGCGATTTCCTACGGAGAGAAACTCGCGGAACGCCGTAGGAATATGAATATGCAACCCGTGGCGACGGTGGGAAACGCCGATCGACTTGCCATCAAACCAGCCGTGACGATCGGTAATCCGATCCTGGAAGCGTTCCCGGAGGAAGCTCTGCAGCGACGAAGATTCCCCAACTCCATGCTGCGGAATATCTCGGCGTACTTGATAAAAATTACGTCCAAATCGAAGGGCAGTAACTCGCCCTGGCAGTACGTGGAATTCGGTCGATCTCGTAATCCCGACGCGAATTGCAGTAACGCCGAAGTTTATCGCTCAACTGTTGACCGAGCCTTGTCGCGATCAAGCGACCCGTCTCAAATTCCGAGACCACGCAAGCTCTCGGATAATCTCGTGAGATCTTTGCAAATGATCCAACACAACAATATTTCGCTGAAAAATCTTCATTCACTATATATCAATGATCGCGATAGAATACGAAAAATGCTGAATGGAAGTAATTCTGATCGCTTACCGAAGAAGTCCAGTGTATCCGATTCAAACGCGACAATTATAAATCTTTTACCCAGATCCGAAAAGGACGCTACAGAAGAGAATATTTCCAATTCGAAAAATTCGAACATCGGAAAGACCGTCTTGAAAAATAAAGTAGATCATCAAAATGGTGACGAAATTAAGAGGATAGAAACGAAATCGGGAAAGAACATGTTTAATGCAAATAGTATAAATATAGACATTAATGCAAAAGCTATACGTCGCTCTAAAAACGTCACTTTGAACGAGGGATATGAAAATATTTATAATAACGGAAAAATTAGGACGAAAAATAATTCTTTAATAACTCAAGGGAGATCAATCGACGCTGCTACTCCGCAGACTGATACCGTGATTTGCAAGTTTATTACTGCCAAACACATGGTGTGTCGTCAGAATGATTCAGCAGCCGCTAAAGTATCGATTAAGCCAATTTATATGACAACTTCTGAAATAACGACGGTGGCAAACGACGTTAATATTAATCGGAATTCTGGTGTGGAAGATGTGAGCGGCGAGAGCAAATCTCTTGGGAAAAAACAACGCAGGAGACACGACTTGGCTTACCAAAAATATCGCTACAAATATCCGAGGGAACTAATCATTTCGTCTACGATAAAACCGTCGACAGAATCCGCGCGGACTTCAACAATATTAGAAAGTACCTCTTCGAAAAATATTAATAAGTACGGAGTAACCGAGACTTGGAAGCCGGAAAAGGGTAATTTGACGGAAGCTGTAGCGGGATCCATTAATTATAATGTATTATTCAACGAAATTTACGGGCAACGGAACTCACGAGAATATTACATTAAAACAAAAAATAACAATCTGGATAGTAAGAAAGATATTTTTGGACATAAAGTAAGAAAGAACGGTAAAGTCTCAAATTATTATAATGAGTATCCGAAACGCCGCGTCACGCAATCTAAAAGAACAGCCTCCGTGACTGTGAGTACGAATAAAATCGAAGGGTATACTGCGACGAATATGGAATACGATCGAGCGCAGAAAGCAGCTTCGTCTGTTTCAGAAAGAATGTCCGCGACAGAAAAAACGAGCAATAACTATTTCTCGATGAAGACAGAAAAATTGCTGTATGAATTAAACGCGCCGGAGATTGAAATACGTCCGTACTTTCCGACAATCAACGATGTCGACGTAACATCAAATCTTTTAACTTCAAATCATAACGCGATTCAGCAAAATCGAGGTGATGAGAAGTTTAACGAAACGCATAGGCAGTCGAATATTTCTTCCGAAAAATTTTACGAAAATGACGAAAACTCGATACGAAGTGACGACAGGATCGATTCCGGATTAGTAAATTCCGACGAGACGCTGGAATCGATAACTACGGATGATAGCACGCGCACGATGTCGAAGGAATCCAGGGAGACTCTGGAAGAAGAATCAGAGGTTGATTTCGAAGTCGTGATATTAAACTTGACGACAACGAGGGCACCCGAGATCGTCACGCGGGATACAAACGAATCCAGGGAGAGAGCGTCTACTGAGAGGCACGGCAAACGCAAGCACAAAAGTCATCATAATGGTCGTAAGAACAACAGGCCCAAGAAGAAGAGGAAGAAGAATCGCGATGCGAAGCGTAAGAGGAAACCGACATCGACCGTCGTCGCTTGGAGGGCCGACGAGCTGACGAGCGTCGATTATGGCAACGCTTATAGTACAGAGCCGGCGAGGACGTTCTCTCATAATGATCCAAGCTACGACAAAGCTGATGGTAATCGTAATACGAGCACGAGTAGAGACTGGTATCTTACTGATGAAATTACAATGGAACCTTTTAAGACAGAATCCTCTACCGCTGATGAGTCTGTCTCGAAACATCCTACGGAAGATAGCATTTACGATGGACTTCAATCGAAAGGAACAACGAATGTGAATCTTGTCACCAGTAGCACCATATCTCATTCATCAACGGCGTCCAATGAGAAAGTTTTCAAAAAATGTAAAGTACTAATTACAACTACCACTGACAAGAGCATCTGGAGCTGGTGGGCAAATGATAATAAAAAGACAGACGAAGAATCAACTGAGTGTGAAGACGAAGACGTTACCTCGTCTCCGACCACAAGTGATTCGGCAGAAGAAGAAACAAGCTATTCTTCTACATACGACACGATATCTAAATCAAGCGGCACAATTTTTTCCTGGGAATATTCAAGCACAGAAAATAAGAAGATAAGCAGTGAAGAGACGAGTACAATATACAGCACGATTAAGGATGGAGAAAATGACGACAAGAAAGGCACGACAGGTAAATCGATCTTGAATGAAGAAAGCGATGAAAACAGAAATGAAGAGACACCCTCTTGGGATCGGGAAAGTACTACGCGTTCCGTAATCGGAGGCACTACGCACGGCGTGAATTCGGATCTCGATAGCGAGGAGGAAGAAGACGCAACGGAGAAATCGATATCCGGCGAAGACAACGAAATCGACAACGGCCTCGTGGCGATCACGGAGGATTACGAGATCGACAATTGCAACAAGACCCAGCACGCGTGCGACAAGTACACGTGCATCGACGAGGACCAGGTCTGCGACGGTATCGTGGACTGCCTTAACGCCAATGACGAAACCGACTGTGATTACATATACTTCAAGAGATTTGAGGAGCATCAGAAATTCGAATTTAAAAATTGGAGCGTCGAAGATTGGAATGCAAACAGACTGGAAACTAACAAACTCACCGATCTCACCTCGAACGTTATCGAAGACACGTCGCCCGACGGATGCAGCCGTTACGAGCATCCTTGCGACGGCACGTGCATAGACGCGCTGAACGTCTGCGACGGCGTGACGGACTGCCTGGACGGTACGGACGAGGCGAACTGCACCGAAGGTATTCCCCATGTTAGAAAATAATAATCCTGCGAGAGTCGGCGTCGACGGCCCTTCGTAGCCCCTCACGCTGTAAAAAGTTTCTCGCCTGCGGGAACGTACGTCTGCACGTGAATCTCAAGAAAGCATGACGTCATTTCGGGCCTGTCATCTTCGCTGTACAGAGAAATGGCTTTGAAGATGTCGAAGTGGCTTAATATGTGGACGTCCTTGGGAAACTGCCGAGATCTATTGCGGCAAAAAAAAGCTCGGAAACACTATTTCCACGGCTATATATACATAGATACTTCGTTCTACTTCGTTTAAGCTGTTCTTATCTGAAGACTCGCAGAAGACTCGCTTCTCCGCCGCGCTTCTGAAAAGCAACGTTACGACGTGCGTTGGAAATCCACATCGTCTATGTTTACGCAGCTTTGGGGAACAAATGTGTTAACAAACGAATCGCGGATAAATAATAATTTTGCGTTCAATGTAAAAGTGCACGTTGTATCGTCCATCTTTGCTGTAAAAATATTGCCTTCCGCGGAGAGAGAGAGTAACGGACGAAGACCAAGTACCAAATAGCCAGACGGTGATCCTTAAAGTACAGTGACCGTAGACGATTATCTTATCGCTTATTAGACGATTATCTTATCTCTTTCTTATTAGTCTCGTCGAAGCTCCACGCTCGGCCTGAAAGAGGATTTGCGATTAATGTTCGCGGGAATTAGTTATCGATGCGTCAGTCAACGACTCCGCGTTAGTCATTCTGCATACTACAGGCATACGGTCAGCCGGCCAATATTTTTATATATTCGCGATTAGATCGCCAAATGAGTATCCGCAACGGCAAAGCGTGAATCCTCTTTTTCTCAGGAACGTGGGAACAGCGTCTCACTTCATCCATTCCATCCTTTGACATCATCATCGTGTCACGCATTACTCGTTCACGTTTTTTTCCACAAGGATGCAGAATATAAATTCGCTTCTCTGTCGCAAATAAAAAAACCGGCATCTCAATGACACTCTTAGAGGATCACATCCGGTAATGACGATATGCAATCCACACGACACACGTATATACCCGAACATTGTACATAGTTTATGAGCTGGGAGGAAAGGAGAAGGAAAAGGAATATGTATTATATATGAGACAATGTGGGGAAACTTTAGACGTCGCGCGCGAAGTTTGCTAAAAATATTTGAAATTAATATATATAATGCACAGTTTATTGAACGAAACGTTCGAGTTGATGGCCCGAGAATAGGACGATTTCATATTGTGGAATATATATTCCTGCCTTCTCTCTCATAATTGAAGTAATTCTAACCACCCTCAAAAGGCTTCTTCACGACGCTTTAAGTGTTAGACCAAGCTTTAAGATATAATAAGATCTCTTGGTTACAGAACCACGCGTATTACCAAAGATGCTTTTCATGTACAGATTTACGAGTCCTCTATCACGCCTAAAACTGCTTTAAATGTCTCTTTATATGTTCATAGCTTGTACTTCAACCTCGAACTCGTCTGTCTCTTCAATCGCCAGTATTAAAAAAAAAATACTTTCTCATTATTGCGTAAAGTCTTTTATGACATTTAATATCAATTTTTTAAGTACAATAATTATGATTTTAATATAACCATATAATATTTAAAATTTACTTTTTACATTTATTTATTTCAGTATATTTATTTCACGACGCACAGATCGTCATAAATTAATGTGACTCGAATTATCCCTGATTTCTAAACTTTAATTCGAAAGTCCATTGAAATCGCGGCGACTGAACGGCAGAATGCGAGACGCGAGCGTTGATCAGGAGGATCTTTGTTTTTTGCCGATGGCACTCTGTAGGTTTGGCCCCGTGCCCTTCCACGGACTTCACCTGCGGGGATGGCTCTTGCATACCGATGAACGCGGTCTGTGACGGATTCGACGACTGCCCCCGGGCAGAAGACGAGCTTTATTGCGGTACATAACCATGTATACCTTTCACGCTACTCGGTATCGGAAAGAGAGAAAGAGAGAGAGATTGAAAAAGAGAAGAGGCAGCGCATGGATGACTTGCTGGCGTAATATCAATCAATGTTATTTTGACGTTTAATGCAACTCGAGCTTTAAAAAAGAATTTTTTTTGAAGTGAAACATAATATTTTTGTTGCGTTTTATCGGTATCGTTACGTGAACAATAACAAGTGGCGCGATGGAATTTTAACTACAAACGCGGCAGAAATTGATTTCAAATAATTGGTGCGAATTATTTATTCGCACTGTTATGGTATATTCGTCTCGATAGATGGTTGGGAAGCAAAATATTCTGTGAAACATCGCTGAAATTATGTAACGAATAATCGATTTTATTAATAATTTTTATTCCTATTAACGTGATCTTTTTTAATTTTTAATGATGAAAAGTACCTTAAGAAACATTCAGAACACTTTATTGTTTCGTAATTACATTCTTCACATTATAATGTCAAATCATTTTGTTAAAAAAAAAGACGATTAAAAAAGTGCATCATCTGATTCGAAAGCAAGAAAGTTGTACGATTCACCCAATTCTTTCTCTCTTTCTTCACGCCGTTTTTTTTTTCGTCCGAAACCTTGCTTAGCTTGCACTCGATACAACGCTTGCCATTGGACCAATCGCTTAATGATTTCACCTCGTTGGATCTAATTACGGACTTGTTTCGCGTTGGTTAGACGCTAATTACAGAGCTTAAATTCGGATTCAACGCTAACGTGACCGGAGCCGGCAATTTTAATCGCAGATTTCGAAAATATAATTCGAGTGGTAAACATGTTTCAATTAGTAAATTAGTTTTTAAACATATAGACATTTCTCAAGGAAAATATTAATTACCATAAATGTTGTTTTAGCAACTATATTATTTGTAATTAAATTAAAAATTAGAGCGATATATATATATATATATATATATATATATATGAAATGTGAGGGCGAAATCTGCGTTTAAAATCTCTCAGTATATACATCTATTATATAGTTATGTAAATAATTTTATCATTAATCTCGCATTCCCATACGGCCCTACGGATTTCTCTCTGTCGATGATATAAACGGTGCCAAATATTCCGAATATAATTTATGTAGAACGAGTGTAACTTTCGATACAATATCTTACAATTAATTTATGAGGCAATAATCATTATCGATCATTACGATACATTCAACGGTAACCCTGTTTGATATAATATTTTAATACGTAAAATGTGATCCACTCAAATGATTTCTTATTCGCATTCGAGCCGCGCTTTCTATTGAATTTCGCTGCGAAAGCGTGCCAGAGTATTACACATCGAATATGCATGGAAACCACGATTCTTTTCGCGAAGTTTAATTCTAAATACCGGAATCGTCCGCCAGCCTGACAAACGACCTCATAATAGCGGGCCATTACACACATTTACGTGGAGCTAATAATCGTGTATCCTCCCGCAAAACTATAGTCGATCGCGGAGGAAAGCTACGCTTATCGTCACGACACATTTTTCGCGCATTGCACGCGACGTCGTAATTCGCATTAACCAATACAACGGGTTATTTTTCACGAACGTTTTATAACAACGCACAGAGCACAGAGCGGTTCTGCAAACGAGCCGTAATATAAATTTCCAATTCTCCCTAATCCATCCCCGTAGTCGCTAAACTGACACTCTCGTTGCGACCTCAGAAGCAGCTTTTTTTCGCTTTTGTGATGTGACGACAGACAGCAAAAGCTATCAATTAAGTAGAGGGAAGCTCGAGCGGGGGGGAGAAAAGCGAGACCGCGACGTGACCGAGTCACGTCGTCGAGACGTCTCGCTCTGAGAAGTCTGAGAGTGCGGCGGCGCGCTTCCGCTTCTTCGATATATAGTATATGTATATGTACACGGAGAGTGATTGTATATATATATATATGTGTAAAAAAAATGTGTGTGTTCTTTGCGCATATGTCCGCTGAACAAAACAAAATACAGAGCGGGAATGCACGCCTAACCAGTTCAAATGCGCCACCGGGAACATGTGCATCGAGGATGTCTACAGGTGCGACGGCCATCCGGATTGTCCAGATCACAGCGACGAGGACTGCGCTCCGTCCGCTAACGACACTACACACACCACTTCGCCTACCACCAGTACGCTCCTTTTTCAGTGTGTCCATCGCTTCATTCGTAATACATTCGTGCAACCTCGTCCGGCGTGTCTGCCGCTGTCACTACTCCAATTTGTTCGACCTCGGTAGCTCCGTGAAATGATCGACATATATTCAATCGATTGCTCCGCATCAGAAAACTTGTTAAAAATAACAACGAATTATTTGACGAATTTATTTTATTAGAGACAAATTTACTCTTTGTGCTCTTGGAGATATAAAAAAAAAAGAACATTAAAATCAAACGCACAAACATCGAGAAATCGAACGCGTGTCTCTCCCTCTAGAAGAGAAAGTTTATTCGCAGCTATCGATCATGATATATATAGTTTTCTTTTCACAAGTATTTAAACGTTCTTTCTCCTCGCGAACGCGATTGGTTTCAGTTGCATATACATGCCCGTGTTCTGTGCAGCCTTATTCGCCGCGAGAAGTTTAAGAGTAAAAATGAGAGATTTGAAAAATATCTTCGGGCTTCGGGCGAGTGTGTTGCGAGTAAGTTGCCCGCCTTCGCTCCGCGGTCCGTAATGTTTGGTTTCCGATTCGAATCCTCTTAAGGAACTCTTATTTACGCGGGACAAGTGGATCTACCTGCCCGGAGCGGATACACACTCGACGATGGTTGTATTTCATTGTGCATTTCTCACGATCAATCGTTACGACCGTGGTCGAGAAAGGCGATTCTTACGTCTCGTTGCTTCTCCGAAGACCCAGACGGCCGTTGTAACATTCGTTTCACCGGACCGGGAGAATTTATACTTACGAGACGCGACTGCTAAACTTTATCGAGGCAACTTATTGAAGAATGTAGAAGTATCTCTTTTTCTTTCTTTTTTTCCTCTGTTCTTCAACAAACCGTCTTCTCGACAACGGCTCTATTTTATCGTATCCACCTGCATGAGTGCGGAAGGGTGCGGAGCACACCGGAAACGTATTACCCCGCGAATCCCCCCGTACGGAAGATTCGCGGGGATCGCCGACGGTATACTCTCATCCGTTCGCGCCGCAAATCGCCGCATTACAAGCCTGCAGATATATATCCCATGTATGCATTGATATATACAAATAGCTGCATTACGCACGAACTTGTATGCCCGAATGCAGACGACGTCAGATAAGAGCGCCCTTAATCTGTGTCTTTGAAACGTGTTTTTTACCCTGGAAACTCTTTAGCGTTCTTCCGGTGACAGTCTACTAATAATTGCCGAAAGGACACTAAAAAGACCAGGGGTAGAAAATTTGGAGAGCTCGAATGAGGGCACTCTTACGCAGCATCCTGCCACGTTTGTGTGACTCTGCTTGCGAACTGGTATCCTCCCTTTTAGTTTCTTCGTTGCATCACTCTCTCACACAATCAGCATTATGGTTGCATTTGTATGATAGAAAGTAAGTGCATTACGTCTCGCTGCGAGTATGTATACCTTCAAATTTTATCTCTCTGGCCGTTCACGATATGCTCCTTTTTCTTTACTGCGAATTTCCCCTGAATGCGCCTATGTGTGCGTATGTGTGTGCGCTTAGGCCCATTCAATCCACGCTGGACACCCGAACGCAAGAGGGAATGCGATCCGAGGACGGAGATGCGCTGCGACGACGGCGGCTGCGTTCTCCTACGACGTAAATGCGACAATATCTTCGACTGCCTCGACGGCAGCGACGAGCGGGGCTGTGGTAAGGGCTTCACCTCGTTCTCTCACAGCCCATCCTCTTCCCTTCCTTTCCGCATACTCGTATTAACGATGACAAATGTTTCCTGATTTCCTCCCGCCGCGTACTCGTATTAACGATGACGAACGGTTCCTGACGTCTCGCAAGTCTGGAAAACTTCTTTTTTGCTTATTAAATAAAAAATCTTTTTATACATTATTTTATTTTAATAATATCTTCGTTTTACGTTTAATGAACGCTAATATTCTTTTATCGATAATATACGATTTTTCGATAAACGGTTCTAAATGAAGACATAAATTCCGTTTACTTTTTTCATCAATAAGAGAATAATGCTTCTCTGCTTCAGTTTAATTCTAATTGTTTTTAATGTTACTGAAATATATATTGAGTAACACGCGAGATTAATTTTAAGTGTATTTCGTGTAGCAATACGATATTTTATTGATATGCAACTTTGATATGCATCTCTACTTATCGATAATGTTTGTCATCGACAATTCAATCTAAAAATTCATTAATGTTAACTCAATATTCCCACTAATATTCAGTGGTGCCATTCAAATTAATTACATAACTTATAATTGACATAGTGAGAGATGATTGACATAGAGCAAATGACTCATAAACTTTCAATAACTCAAATATTCTAATCAATTTTCATATATCAAAGATTATATATATTTCTAGTAATTTTTATATTTTTTAAATATTTCTTCTTTTATAAGAAATTTAGTTTAAACTTCTTTTTATACCCATCGAAATTGTTCTCAATTTTATATAATATGACACATGCTTAAGTGACAATCGATGTTCATAATGACACCATTGATGATTCCTCGTTATTCCCCAATCCCCAATGCTTTTTGCGGGAGCTTTCATGTCTGTATCATAAAGGGGTTTGCACACCTGCCGAATGGAAGTGCGCCAGTGGCGAATGCTTGCCGGAAAACCAAAGGTGCGACGGGATAATGCAGTGCAGTGACGGATCCGATGAGGATCGATGTGGTAATTATACGATAGCTTTCGCCCGCAAATTGTTTACAAAAAATGGCCTTCTCATTACTCTCGCTCGTTGCAGTTGCACGCTGCAAAATTATTACAGATTATCTTTTACAAGAGGAAAATATCGCAAGTTCTATTTATTCATTATACGCTGGAATCCCCAAACGACTGTACCTCGATTAAAATCATTTTTTATCTAATCAGACATAATATTAATTAACATAATATTAATTATGTTACTGCATGTTACAAAATTCATATTTGAATTAATAATATAATAATTTTAATAATGTGTTTCCTGTCAATCTTAATTAACGCCTGCATAGTAATGAAAAGTTTATCACTTTATTTTTTATTTGTGTATAACAAATTAATTGTTTTTTTTTCGTTCGTCAAACAATAAATCATTATTTCCATTCTAATTTTTATATGTCCTAACGAGTCTTGATTCCTAATTTGAATCAAAAAAATATATTTACGTATATTTGAGTATCGTTAAAATTGGATATCTCAAAAACCTACATCGAAACTGTAATAGCTCGTGTGCATGGAACAACTTTTTTATCACCTTCGATATCGCATTCTTTCTTTGCGAAAGGAGTCCATCTCGCATATATGCTGCTTGATGTCGCACGTTGCATTTTGTCCACGTTATAAATGTTGACGCACGTGTCTCTTCGAAAGTATAACCGGTATGAAAAATTCGAAAGCGCATGATAAAAAGCTCCCGTAAGTAGATAATAATAATATTAATTGAACGATGCAAGAAGAGTGAATGTCCCGATGGGTTCACATGAGGATTGACTGTTTTTACATTGCCTTAGAAACTTATTAGAGCAGAGGTAGCTGATGTACTCGGCAAAGTACATATACAACTAACAAGGGTGACAAGCAGCGTCTATTATGTACGATAAGAAACGCGTAATAATTCATGCAAGCATCTCCACGTTTGTTTAACACTTAAGTAATCGTATATATAGAAACTCATGATCTTTATCTATCTATGAGAATATCATCGATAGAAATCTCTTCGAGAAGGCAAATTATTACATTGAATAATATTTAATAAATACATGTAATTGAAAAGTATTATATGTATTTAAGTTTATATGGAGGTTTTTTTCCTTCGAGGAATGAATTATCACGAAAGAAAATCTGAATAATTGTGTGTCATAAAATCAATATCTGTTAAAATATGCATACACGTTTCCCTTCTTACGTTATCTCCGCCGTGCTGCAAGTGAGAGAATGAAAAAAATTTGCATGATACTGTCGCGATTACTCAAGTGTTAATAAAAATAAATTGTTTTTACGTGCGGTGTCAGCACGTTTCTCTTGCCTTACGCAATGCTCGATTATCTTGAACAAATACTGGATCTTGCGGTGGTAAGGCCATTTTTTCTCTCCCCCCC